GATCTATTGATTCATGGTAAAATTTTAAACGCACTGCTTACTCATAATAATTATGCAATACTCACGTCATCAGTCTACATGGTCACAGTTTGCTCAAACTAGTATTAATCAAGTAATTTAAATAATTATTGTAACTAATTAAGTACGTTGACAGCGAAATAGAGTATTTCTTTTTACGTCCGTCTGTCTGTCTGTTTGTCTATCTGTCTGCCGTCTGTCCGAATTCTTATTAGACAGATAATCTACAACACTACTGAACCAATTAAAATTTTGAAACTGCAAAACCGATTTTTCGGTTTCCCGATTTTTTTGTTTTCAATTTTTCGAAATTTTAGTTTTGGAATTTTTGAGTTTATTTGTTATTCAATTTTTGGATTTTATAAATTCCCAATTTTTCAATTTCTCGATTTTCAGTTTTTCGATTTCTCAATTTTTCGATGTCTCAGTTTAACGTTTTTTTCATTTTTCTCCTTTTCAATTTTACGGTTTTTAAATATTTAAATTTTTCAGTTTTTGAAGCTCTCGATTTTTCGATTTTTCAATTAATCGAGGTTTTGATTTTCCCATATCTTGAATTTCCACTGTTTCGATTTTTCAGTTTTTCAATTCTTCAATTTTTCGATTTTTCAGGTTTTTGATTTTTCAATTTTTTCTATTTTCAAAGGTTTCGATTTTCATTAATTATTTAATTTTTCGATTTTCCTGTTTTTCAATTTTTCAATTCCACGATTTTCAATTTTTCAATTTCTCAATTTTCCGATGTTTCAATTTTACGTTTTTCCCATTTTTCTCCTCTTCAGTTTTACGATTTCTCAATTTTTCAGTTTTTTAATTTCTCAGTTTTGAGATTTTTCAGTTTTTCCATTCTTCAGTTTTTCTTTCACATTTCAATTTTTCGAAATTTTAGCTTTGGGATTTTTCGGACTATTGATTATTTAGGTTTTCGATTTTAGAATTTCTCAGTTTCTCAATTTTTCGATTTTCAAATTTCCGATGTTTCAGTTTTACGTTTTTTCAATTTTTCTCCTCTTCAATTTTACGATTTGATTGTTCAATTTCTCGATTTATCAGTTCTTCAATTTATAACTTTTCGATTTTATATTTTGGCCTATTTCGGTTTCTCGGTTTTTCCATTTTTCCGTTTTTTCGTTTTTTTATTTTTCCGCTTTTAGATTTTAAAAAAATGTTAAAATCGAAAATTTGAAAAACCAAAAACTGAAAATTCGAAGAACTCAAAAGCCGAAAAATCGAGAAAATCGGAATTTTAAAAATTCAAAATCTAAAATTTAAAAATGGGGAAATCGAAAATTCCAGAATTTAAAAAATCAATTTTCCAATTTATTTTTTTATTTCTCAGTTTTTGGATATTTCAGTTTTTCTTTCATTTTTCAATTTTTGAAAGTTTCAGTTTTGGGACTTTTCAGTTTATTTATTATTCAATTTTTCGATTTTATTATTTTTCAATTTTTCAGTTTCACGATTTTTAGTTTTTCGATTTTTCGAAGTTTCAATTTTACATTTTTCCAATTTTTCTTCTCTTCAGTTTTACGATTTTTGAATAACTATTTCGATTTTTGACTTTGCTTTTTTGTCTTTTTGATTTCTCAATTTTTCAATTTTTTTATTTCTCAGTTTTTGGATATTCATTAGTTTTTCTTTCATTTTTCAATTTTTAGAAATTTAAATTTTGGGATTTTTCATACTATTTATTATTCAATTTTTCGATTTTACTATTTCTCAATTTTTCAATTTCTCGAATTTCAATTTTTCGATGTTTGAGTTTGACGTTTTTTCAATTTTTCCCTTCAATTTTACGATTTTTAAATATTTTGATTTTTGAACTTTTAATATTTGACTTTTTTAAATTTTCAATTTTTCGAGTTTTCTTGACTTTGAACTGCTTCAATATTTCAATTATTCAATTCTTCAATTTTTCGACTTCACTTTATTGACTATTCCATTTCTCAATTCTTCAATTTCTCGAATTTCAATTTTTCGATGTTTGAGTTTGACGTTTCTTCAATTTTTTCTTTCAATTTTACGATTTTTAAATATTTTGATTTTTGAACTTTTAATTTTTGACTTTTCTAAATTTTCAATTTTTCGAGTTTTCTTGACTTTGAACTGTTTCAATATTCCAGTTATTCAATTCTTCAATTTTTCGATTTTTCGACTTCACTTTTTTGACTTTTCGATTTCTCAATTTTTCAATTTTTTAGATTCTCAGCTTTTGGATATTGCAGTTTTGGTATTTTTCAATATTTCGATTATTCGATGTGTCGATTTTTTTATGATTACCAAATTTTAGATTTTTCGATTTCTCGATTTTTCATTTCATTTCTTCGATATTTCATTTTTTCGAATATTTCAAATTTTCAATTTCTTAATCTTTCGCTACTTCAACTTCCCGGTTTTATATTTTCTGTTTTTCAATTTTTCGTTTTTTCAAATTTTTGATTTTTTGATTTTTCATTTTTTAATTTTTCTATTTATCGAGATTTGGATGTTTCGATATTTTGATTGTTCAGTTTCAGGATTTATTTTGATTTTTGATTTTGGCCTATTCGGTTTCTCAATTTTTCGACTTGTCGACTTCTTGATTTCTCGATCTTTTGATTTTTCGATTTTTTACTTTTAGGATTTTCGGTTTTTCGATTTTCCAGACTTTCGATGTTTCGATTTTTCAATTTTTCGATTTTTCGTTTTTCGGTTTTTAAATTTTAGATTTTTAAATTTTTCGATCATTTTAATTTTTCATTTTTTTTCTCAGTGTTAATATCAATGTATCGAAAATAAACATAAAAGTTTGTCACTAAAATTGAAAAATTAAAAATTTTAAAAATCGAAAAATTGAAAATTCAAAAAACTGAAAAATCGAAGAACTGAAAAGTCGAACATCAAAACAGCGAAAATCGGAAATTTGAAAAATTGAAAAATCTAAAATTTAAAAATAGAGAAATCAGGATTTTAAAAAACAAAAAATTGAAAAATCAAAAAACTGAAACACCGAGAAATTAAAAATTTTCAAACCGACATCACAAAAATTGGGAAATATAAAAATTGAAAAATTGAAACATCGAAAAACTAAAAAATCGAGATTATTTATTATTCAATCTTTCGATTTTTCAATTTCTCGATTTTCAATTTTTTGATGTTACGTTTTTTCAATTGTAGATTTTTCGATTTCTCGATTTTTCATTTCAATTCTTCGATATTTCAATTTTTCAATTTTTCGAATTTTTCAAATGTTCGAATTCTTAATCTTTCAATTTTTCATCTTCCAGGCTTTGGAGTTTTCGTTTTTTCAAATAGTCAGTTTTTTAATTTTTCATTTTTAAAATTTTTCGATTTTTCGATTTCCCGATTTATCAAGATTTGGATGTTTCGATATTTTGATTTATTTATCAGTTCTTCAATTTATAACTTTTCGATTTTTTATTTTGGCCTATTTCGGTTTCTCAGTTTTTCATTCTTTCCGTTTTTTCGTTTTTTTATTTTCCCGCTCTTAGATTTTTCGATTTTCCATTTTTTAACTTTTAACTTTTCGATTTTTCGATTTTGGCCTATTTCGGTTTCCCAATTTTTCGATTTTTCGACTTCATGACTTCGAGTTCTCGATTTTTTGATCTTTCGATTTCTCAATATTTCAGTTTCGATTTTTTGGTTGTTCAATTTCTCGATTTATCAATTTTTAGATTTTTAATTTTCTAATTTTTTTGATTTCTCGGTTTTCGACTTTTTACTTTTCGGATTTTCGGTTTTTCGATTTTCCATTTTTTAAATTTTGGAGTTTCGATTTGTCAATTTTCCGTTCTTTCATATTTCTATTTTTCAATTTTTCGGTTTTTTAAGTAATATATTTTTCGGTTTTTCGGTTTTAGGACTTTTTTATGTTTCGATTTTTAGATTACTGGATTTTTCAGATTTTCGATTTTTCAAATTTTTGATTACTTTAATTTTTGATTTTTTTTTCTCAAGGTTGATATACAATGTATCGAAAATAAACACAAAATCGAAAAATAAAAAATTTAAAAAATCGAAAAATTGAAAAACCAAAAAACTGAAACAATCGAAACAGTGAAATCGAAAATTCGAAGAATTGAGAAATCTAAAATTTAAAAACACAGAAATCGAAAATTCCGGAATTAAAAAAGCCAAAAATTGAAAAATTGGAAAATTGAAAAATTAAAAAACTGAAACACCGAGAAAAAAAAATTCCAAACTGAAATCACAAAAAATTCGGAAATCAAAAAATTGAAAAATCGTGAAATTAGAACACCGAAAAATTGGAAAACTGTAACATCGAAAATTCGAGACTTCGAAAAATCGGGAAATCGAAATGTTGAAAATGAAAAATTGAAAATTAATTATAACAAAAAATAAAAAAAAATTGAACATAAAAAAGTCAATAAATTGAACAATTCCAAAACTGAAATGACGAAAAATTGGGAAATTGAAAAAACTGGAAAACTAAAAAATCGAAACATTCAAAAATTGTGTGTGTTAATATCATACAATGTATCTAAAATAATCACAAACATTTGTCGCTAAAAACATTTAAAAATCTTACAAAGTAGGAGACAATGTTTCCAAAACATAAAAATAGCTACATTTTATGTACTAAAACCCGAGCAAAAAACTATTTCCCGCACACATAATAGTCCAAATCGCTTCCGAACGCTTAAAGTCGACAATCGCCTGAGCTCTCTCTGGTCTGTAGATCAAACAAGTCCTCAGGTGACGAAACGGCGCTTTAATTAAAACTTCCCTTTTTGTTGAAAACACATCAAAATCAACAAAAACCAAAATCATCAACAAATCTGACAAAATCAACAATTAAATTCGCAAATTTGCATAAATCAACCCTTACAATGTAAACAAAGCAGAATCTTTAGCATCCTGTCACCGATTAACATTCAACCCCTTGATTACCATACCGTGACGCAACAACATTTAAAATAATCCCCTAATTACAACCACTAAACCAAACATCACGCATATCAAAAAACACCCCCGAACCACCATGACGTAATCAAACCCCAACTTTCACATATCTCAGCATACGCAACGCCAGCTGTGACATCCAGAGCTTTTCCGGGAAATTTAGATTTCATTAGACGAACTTTAAGCTCGCATTCCCTGACAATCCGCATTATAATCTAGAACAGCTAAATCGCTTTCAATTCAAATTTATGCGAAGTCGTAAACACGCGAAGATTGGGAGATAGGCAACTACAACGGCGTCGATTCCTGCAGTGGTGTATGGTGGGTTGCCTAGCCGCACCGGAAATTTCTGCTGCGGAGAAAATAAATGCGTCTGGTGCGTTTTTGGCACTAAAGTGACCATAACTTGAATGTTATGTCGGGATTTTGTTAATCTGGTCAATTATTAGGCAACAAAGTCGCGATTTCGGGTATATGTGATTGCCTACACGAAATTCAAAATTTGCTTATTATATGAATACAGAGAAAACTAAAATAAATAAATAATAAAATTGCTACGATTATTTACAATAATGATGTTTGAATTTGTTGCGTAAAACGTTTTTACTTTTGCGCAATTAATTTTTTTGCGCCGACTTTTCCGGCTAAGGCGCCGATTATCGTTAAAAATCGTTACGAAATTCCCACGATGACTATTCTCACCTAGAGGCAAACGCGATGGTCGTTTCATGGTAGACGGTGACGTCACACGTGTAATGCCGCAAAGCCGATGGCTTGTAGAGGTGGTCACCACGTTTCTACTCCTATACTTAGCAAATATCCAGCAGTTGTGATTCAGATACGTCGTGCTTTCGCGCTCTTTGGCGAACTTCCAAACTTGATTCGTTTTTGAGTGTTAGTGCCCGCAATTGCCAACATGATTTATTACAATCAATGGATTTGTGTCAAGTACTTGAAAAAGTACCAGTGAGTTAGTGCGGCCCTTTTGTGAAAAAAAAAAAAACTGAAATTTTTGGTAAGTTTTAACCAGTATTAATGATTTTATCATTTATTTTTTAATTTATAATGCGGATTTGGACGTTTGCGGAAGTTATCACGGAAGTCGATACCAGCCGACTATCGTTTTTATTACTTTTGAATTAAAATCAACCAAAATATTTACAATAAACCCGCGATAATCCGCCAATTATGATCAAAACAAACGCTCCGACACGTGAACGGACGTTTAGTCCGGCGGATGAAAGGCGCTTTTACTCGAAACGTCGCATTTCTATTTTCGTCACACCGAGTTTTTCTTAGAACGCGTCGCTATTTTTACCGCAATCCGGAAAATTTAACAAAACGTGCTCAAATTTGTAAATCGCGGGTTTATGAATGGACTTAAATTTAGGTTTGTAGGTGGCATAAACGGGCCCGATTTGGCGGTTTTGGGTTGCGTAAGTTGACTTACCCCAATTTCAATCAGGCTAAGTAAAAATAGAGGGGTACAGACGCGAAAATGGGGCAGACAATGTGCTAAATTTAATGTGAATGCGTTACGAGAGGTTGAACTGCGGTTTTGGGTTGGTTATTTAAAAAGTGGCAGTTGCCCAAACTACGAAATCGATGTGTCGTTGGGAATTTTGGGTTCCGGATTTAACAGGTTTTGGCAGAGATTTAACAGGTTTGAATAGTAATAATAATGACACTAGTTTAATTTTTGGAGACCTGCTCACTGTGTTATGGACTGACGTAGGTCAGGACTAAGTCCAAGATTTTTACGATCTAAAAATATATTCGTTATTACTTCCAGTCCTTATATTACTGTTCGTTCAGACCATGTAGTGTTTGTTAAAAAATCTTTTTTTATTTTGTGTAATATATTACATCAGTGCTATTTTTTAAACCAACCTATCGAGACCTACCAATGTAATTAATCACCTAATGCACATCTATTTCGCTTAATTATATAATAGGTTTAATTTGTTAATGAAAGCTGGCAGTCGAATTCAGTGGAACAAGGTCGAATTTTACATTAAATTTAAATAATTATAAATATACCACACGATCGTAAAAATTCTCTTAACTGTAATGGTCTAGAGTAGCGTTCGAACGACAATTTAAATGTGTGTCCGATTTGGCGGAAGCGGCACCGGATGCCGCTCTCCAGTTTTCGTTCATGGTTTTATACATGTATTTTTGACGGATCGCGGATTTAGTTCTAAAGAGAAACCAAGAACTGGGTTTGGAATTACAACATTATAACAAATGAATGCAGCACGCGTGACATAAGATAAGAAATTGATAAACAAATAAACCTGATATGTTATCGCGCTATTATTTACTTGGGTTCGTAAGTGCGTCAGATTAGTGCAAGATTTATTATTTTGCAAGCATGTGTGACTTTGGTGGTGTTTTCAGGGAAAGGATTAGTTTGACACTCCTATAGAGTGATTTGTGTTATTAATTATTATAGTAAAAGTGATCTGATAATTTGTTATTAATGGCATATAATTCCGCTGTGGTTGTGGTTAAAATCGCTGCAAATTTCTCTACTGCAGGACAAAAATGTACATGAAAAATTTTTGACATTGGTTTTTTAAAATATTAATAAGAGATTATGAATCCGGTGAAAAAACCTTGACTCAGTCGTTTTTTGGTACTTTTTTTCATATCTAATCACTTTCGTTTTTTGTTTTTAAGAAATCAAGTGAGGTGAGAGACAAACAAATAATTGCGAAACAAGAAAAACCAATTTAGTATTTTTTCTTGATTTTTTTCTAATTAACCGGAAAAGGATTAATACAGCGAATTATAATTGTATATAATATGGGAACAATACTGCTCAAAAATTAACCCTATTTTTGAATTCTATATCTCGAAATTTTGACACCCAAAAATCCCCACACCGCATTTTTAAAAATATTGAAGGATTAACTTCGAAATTCTAACTTGTTTTAATAAACTGAATTGTCTAATAGACAGTTAAACAATTGGTTATTAAGAATGTAATAATAATTTGCTAGAATACAATTTACAGCGTCATTTTAGACAATTTTTATGAGAGTTCTAGACTTTCAATTAAAATCACATCAAAATATATCAGAATTACGAATTTAATTATTCAGTTTTGAAGAATATTTTCAAAAATTTGGTTCATAGATTTTTTTAACCATTTTTTTCGTGCTCTACAGAGGCGTCTTAACAACGTACCATCCAGCAAATACTTAATTTTTTCATCACCCTGTATATATATTTTTTTAATTAACAATGAAAAAATTGGAAAATAGAAACAACGAAATTTGGGCAATTAAAAAAAGATTTAAAATTCAAAACTTGATCCATTAAAGACCGGACGATTGAGAAATCGCACAATTGTAAAAATATAAAACTGAAAAATTGGTTAATTGTAAAATCGAAACTTTGTTAAACAATAAATAGGAAAAATTTAAAAATCGAATGATTTTAAAATCGAAAAATTGCGAAATTATAAAATTGAGAAATTGGATCATTGTAAAATTGGAAAATTATAAACTATAAAGCTGAAAAAAAAGTTAAATTTTAAAATCGAAAAATTAGATAATTGTAAAATTGAAAAATTACATTTCGAAATCGAAAAATTGGAAAACCGAAACAATGAAATTCGGAGAGTTGAAAAATCAAAAATTGAATATTTGAAAACTCAAAAATTTTAAAATAGATGAATTATAAAACTTAAGTTAACAAATTGGTTAAATAAAAACCCGACAATTGAGAGATCGAAAACTTGTAAAATATATAATATAAAAATTTAAAAATAAAAAAACTGCAAAATTACAAAATCGAAAAACTGGATAATTGTAAAATCGAAAAATTATTATTAAAATGTAAATCTGAAACATTGCAAAAATATTAAATTGAAAATCGAATAATTTTAAAATCGAAAAGTTGTGAAATTGAAAAATTGGAAAATCGAAACAATGAAATTCGGATAATTGAAAATCAAAAACATAATAATTGAAAAAACGAAGAATTATAAAATTAAAATTGATTCATAAAACCGAATAATTATTGACATCCAAAAACTGTAAAAATGTAAAATTGAAAACTCGGATATCTTTAAAAACGAAACATTTTTAGATAATTAAACTGGAAATTAAAAAAACTTAAAAAAATCAAATTGAAATTTTGAATAGTTGAAAATCAAAAAATTGGTGACATTTTACGCAATTGTGTATTATCTTTTTGATAGTTGTTTTTCCACATACGGGCCAAAATTGCCTTCTTACTGCCGCCAGAGTTGCCTGCGTTCCTGCGTGTAGTGTGTCCGTGTGTGCGTCACGTATGATAATTTTTGTCACATAATGATTTTTTGGAAGGAGGATTTGATGTTTCATATCGTAATTTATTTTTGCGTTTTGCAAGCGCCCTCCCACTCTCAAAATGCCGTTGTCATCCATAAATATATTTAGCGATTTCAAATGGCTATTGTTGTTTATGAACCCGTTGCTTTGCAGCTCTTTAATTTCGGATGAAAATTGATCTTTTTGAACTAACTTTATGGTATTAATATGCGCTGCGTCTAATTCTTCCACCGATAATTCACCTGAATAATTACACTGTTTTTTCTGCAATTTATTAATAAATCTGTAACAGTATGCTACAATGCGTTTTAGTTTTTTATATGTACTAACTCTCGTAAACAATGAAGAAAGCGAAGATTCGTCTGACGTACAATGTGAAACTAGTGAAATTTTGCGCTCTTCAGGTAAATTACTATTTAAAACGCTTTTTGGTACTGGCCATTCGTTTAAATCTTTAGTTAAAAAAGACGGACCGTGCCACCATAAGTCACATGATTTTAGCTCACTTGGGTCCATTCCTCTTGAAATTATATCTGCGGGATTTTCGTTGCTGATTACATGACGCCATTTACAATTATTAGTAAGAGTTTGAATTTCTGACACACGGTTAGCAACAAATGTTTGCCAACGATTTGGTGATGCCGCTATCCAAGATAATGCAATTGTTGAATCGCTCCATAAGTAACAGTCGTCAAAATTAATTTTCATCGCATTTTTGACTTTAGACATTAATTTGGCAAGTAAAGTAGCGGCGCATAATTCTAACCTAGGTAGGGTAATTTGTTTAATTGGAGCAACTCGTGTCTTCGAACAAAGAAGTTTCACAGTATGCGAATTTGATATATCAGTCGTTCTTATATAAACTGCCGCCCCGTAGGCCTTTGTACTCGCGTCGCTAAATCCGTGAATTTGTATTTTTTGATACGGATAATCTGCAACTACCTTCCGAGGAATTTGAATTTCATTTACATGCTGTAGTTCAGCGAGAAAGTGCTCAAATTGTTTACTTAGTTCAGGTGGCAATTCGTCATCCCAGTCGGATTGTAATTGCCATAATTTTTGTAATATTAATTTTGCTGACACTAGGACAGGACCTAAGATGCCTATGGGGTCATACACCGTGGCTATTGTGCTTAGAACGGATCGTTTAGTAATTTTAATTGGATGTTGTAGTTTGAAGTCATATTTTAAATTATCATTCGCACAATCCCAACTTAGGCCTAACGTTTTTGTTTGCATATTTTCATCTAAACGCACGAGTGCAGTGTTGTCACTGTGACACTGTGGCAGAAGAGCGTCATTATTAGAAGCCCACTTTGTGATTTCGAAACCGCCACTACCTAAAATATTTATTAAATTATCGCGAAGTGTGATTGCTTCGGTTTCGTCATTTGTACCCGTTAGAAGATCATCCATGTAAAAGTCTTCCAAAATGACCCTACTAGCGTGTGGATAAGAGTCCGCGGTTTCTACTGCTAATTGTCGCAAACATCGCATGGCTAAATAAGGCGCACAAGCCATGCCATATGACACTGTTTTCAAGCAATATATCCGTATGGGTTCGTCTAGATTTGAACGCCATAAAACTTTTTGATATTTCCAGTCGTCTGGTGCCACCCAAATTTGCCGAAACATTTTTACAATATCAGCAGATAGCACAAACTGGTATTGTCTGGACCTCACCAATAATGAAAATATATCGGTTTGAAGATTTTGTCCCGGTAGTAGATAATCATTGAGACTAAATCCGGATGACGACTTTGTGCTGGCATCAAAAACGGCTCGTACTTTTGTCGTTAGGCTCGAATCCTTAATCACACCGTGATGCGGCAGGAAACAACCTTCGTGAATATTTTGATCTGTTGCCAGTTGCATATGATTAAGTGCAATGTAATCGGCCATGAAAGTGCAATATTGATTCCTAAATTCATAATTGTTTTCAAATTTCTTTTCGAGAGACCTAAATCGCTTGTACGCTATTTCCTTTGTAGAACCTAAATTGGGAGGATTTGCCTTGAATGGTAAGCGCACAATAAATTTCCCATTGGGATCTCTGCTGTGTTGTTTTACGAATAAATTTTCGCACAACTGATCTTCAGAACTTAAGTTTTCGATACGGTTGTCATAATTTTCGACCTCCCAAAATTTTGTTACTTGTTTGTCTAAATGTTCTAATGCACAGGTGTTTAAATTACCGCAAAATATACTATTAATCTGGATTGCTGCCGCTGTAAATGGTCCACCCAATATCCACCCCAAACATGTGTTATGAAGAAAAGTCTGTTCGTTCGACAATTTCATCCGTCCGTCTCGAAGTAGTTCCCAAAACAAAGCCGCGCCAATTAAAATATCAATAGGACTTGAAATGTTGTAATTAGGATCTGCTAAATTTAAATTTTGGGGAACCGGAATCTCGGATTTGTCGAACGTATCTATGGGATAATTTCGATTTATATTGGGGACTACCAAACATGCAATTTTTTCGGTATAATTATCGTGCAATGATTTAAAGTGAAGCGTAGTAGAATGTTTAATTTCATTGTAACTACCACAAACCGAACTTATGCCTGCATGCACAGATTTTGTAGTTAAGTTTAATCTTTTACACATTTCTTCCGTAATTAAATGTTGTTGCGATCCTTGATCAAGCAACGCTCTACAGGTGTAAACCTTTCCATTTGAGTCTGAACACTGAACCAATGCTGTTGACAAAATTACTTGAACATTAGAATTTAATTGATAATTGTTTATGCTAAGGTTTGCAGTCTGACTCTGATTATTATAATTTGGACCTCTTGATTGATGTAGTAACGAATTGTGTCGGTTTGAACATATCTTGCACGTCATAGACCGGCAAGTTCTTGAATCATGACCACCTTTTAAACAATTGAAGCATATTTTCCATCTTTTAACGTGCTCAATGCGCTCGTTTATGCTGAGTTCGAGGAATTTGGGACAGTGGAATAAATTGTGATGGCCTTTACACATAACGCACGCGATTGTATTTTGATTATTAACAAATTGATAGTTTTTCCTTACAGGAACTTCTGCATTCTGTGTTTTCTTTAAAGGTGCAGAGTTCACGTTATGGTTACTTAAATTGAATTCCATTGATTCTAGTGTTAAACATCGTTGTTTTAAAAATTCGACCATTTGTTTCCACGTCGGTAATTCGTTGGCCTTTAAACGTGACTCCCATTCGCGTTTAGTTAAAAAATCAAATTTTGTTGTTGTTAGATATATTAATAAGACATCCCATGACGTTACGTCCACATTTTGTGTTGTTAAAGCCGCTAAGTGCGTACTTATACCGTCTAATAATTCCCTTAAGGAACTGGGTGACTTGTTCATTGGTTGTAGATTAAAAATCGCGTGAATATGGTTTTGTACAATAAGTCTTTTATTTTTGTAACGGTCAGTTAAAAGGTTCCATGCGGATTGGTAACTTTCGGCCGAAATCGGTAATAAATCTATGGTACGTTTTGCATCTCCTAACAGGCAACCCTTTAGATAGTGGAATTTTTGAATATTAGAAAGACTACTATTTTCGTGAATAAGAGAAATGAAACTGTCGTAAAATGTCGTCCACTCTGTATATTCGCCGCTGAATTTAGGCAGATTAATTATCGGTAACTGTACGGCGATATTACTAGAATTTTGCGTTTGATTAGGAGCTTCGGTCTCCGGAGTTCGTGCACCGGGTTTTGTTTTTAGTTCAATAATTTTTCGTGCTCTAACTAATAATTCATAATACCTATCTTCAAATGCTTCACGAACATCTGCTTCTTCGTCAGATTGACGTAAAATTTCAATTTTTGATTGTACTTCCTCAAACTGTTTTAATAATGGCTTATAATTTATTAATCGTTCTTCCAACAGTAGATAATTGATGTTATTTGCCTCAAATTTGTCTAGAAATGATTCAAAACGCGTTACTGCCGATTTCGTTTGTTTACGAGTTTCCTTTAATTCTTCTACTGTTGGCATTTTGATATAAAAATTCGATCTGAGCAACGGAATGAACTGCAAGTCTGCTGAACTGAAATGTGCGATTTCTAAATCGTTTAAGCACCACAAAACGAATTAAGTACGTATAAAATTTGAATTACTGATGTATAAACTATCGCACGAAGAAATGTATACGGTAAAAATTGGAGTAGGACTTGAGGGAAGCAATGACCACTAACCTGATGTGTTGCTGTTATCCACGATTTTTCTCGTGATTTTTCCACCTGTCTCGTTGTGGAAATCCTGCTGCTGATGCTGAATTCGCCACTAACACTGTTATTCTTGTTGCGGGTTTGTTTCGCCCCAAAACACAATTGCAAATACGGGATTGTTTCACCCAAAACACAAAATTGTTGAAGTACGGGATTGTTTCACCCAAGACACAAAATTGTTGAAGTACGGGATTGTTTCACCCAAGACACAAAATTGTTGAAGTACGGGATTGTTTCACCCAAAACACAATCGCTGATTCACTATCCGACTCGATCGGACCAAAAATATGTTGCGATAACTCGAAGGACCAATTGTAATAAATACAATAAAAATACGGTGGCGCTTGAATATGTATATTTGTACGATGTTAACAGTCTCAAGTCCAAATTCTTACTCCCTATTTTTACAAACTATACCTAATTATAAAGACTTGGCCCCACAAAAGGGTGCCGCACCCTCACATTGGGTGATTAAGAAATTCGCTGCAGTCGGGTGAGAGAGCCGCCGTGCAGGTGGCTCGAACAAAAATCAAAAACTTGCAAAATTGAAAATCGAAATTTTGAAATATTAAACAATGAAATTCGGATAATTGAAAAATCGAGTACCTTTAAAACCGAAAAATTGTAAAATAGCTGAGTAGAAAATTCAAAAATATTTTGAACACTTAAAAATAAAGAAAATTGTATTTTGTAAAATTACAAAATTGAAAAATTGGATAATTGTAAAATCGAAATCTGAAAAATCTACAAATTTTGAAATCGAAAAAATTCAAAAATTCAACAATGTCAAACAATTGAAAAGTGAAAAATCGGGAAATTGGAAAATCTGATAGTTGAAAAATTGATTCATTAAAAACCGGACGATTGAAAAATTGGATAATTGTAAAATCGAAACATGTATGATTAATCTGTAGATCTGAAAAATTGTAAAGGAGAAACAATGAAATCCGGATAATTGAAAAATCAAAAATTAAAAAATTGTAAAAAACGAAGAACTACAAAATTGAAAATTGAGAAAACTGTCTCATAAAAACCAAATATTATAAATTATAAAAATGTGGAAATGACAAATCAAAAAATTGTAAATCGAAAAATTTAAAAATAATATAACCTGAAAAATCAAAAACTGGAAAAATTAAAACTGAAATTTTGAAATTGAATTGACACAATTACAAATAAAAAAACTGAAAAATTGCAAAATTACAAAACTCAAAAATTGTGTCATTTTAAAATTGAAAATTGAAAAATCCAAGAATTGTTAAACAGAAAAATTGCAAAATTATAAGATTGGAAAATCAAAAACTTGCAAAATTGAAAATCGAAATTTTGAAATATTAAACAATGAAATTCGGATAATTGAAAAATCGAGTACCTTTAAAACCGAAAAATTGTAAAATAGCTGAGTAGAAAATTCAAAAATATTTTGAACACTTAAAAATAAAGAAAATTGTATTTTGTAAAATTACAAAATTGAAAAATTGGATAATTGTAAAATCGAAATCTGAAAAATCTACAAATTTTGAAATCGAAAAAATTCAAAAATTCAACAATGTCAAACAATTGAAAAGTGAAAAATCGGGAAATTGGAAAATCTGATAGTTGAAAAATTGATTCATTAAAAACCGGACGATTGAAAAATTGGATAATTGTAAAATCGAAACATGTAGATTAATCTGTAGATCTGAAAAATTGTAAAGGAGAAACAATGAAATCCGGATAATTGAAAAATCAAAAATTAAAAAATTGTAAAAAACGAAGAACTACAAAATTGAAAATTGAGAAAACTGTCTCATAAAAACCAAATATTATAAATTATAAAAATGTGGAAATGACAAATCAAAAAATTGTAAATCGAAAAATTTAAAAATAATATAACCTGAAAAATCAAAAACTGGAAAAATTAAAACTGAAATTTTGAAATTGAATTGACACAATTACAAATAAAAAAACTGAAAAATTGTAAAATTACAAAATTGAAAAATTTGATAGTTGTAAACTCAAAAATTTATTAAACTGCAAAAATAAAAAATTGTAAAATTCTCAAATTGAAACATCGACATATAAGTGAAAAGTGAAAAATCGAAAAATTGAAGAATCCAGAAATGGAAAAATCTGATAATTGAAAAATCAAAAATTGACAACTCATTCATTTAAAATTTAACAATTGAGAAATCGAAAAATTGTAAAAATACAAACTGAAAAATCAGGTAAGTAAAAAATAGAAAAGTTGCAAAATTATGAAACTGCAAAATCAAAAACTTGGAAAATTGGAAATCGAGATTTTGAAATATAAAAAATTAAAAATTAGAAAAGCGAAACAATGACCTTGATACCTTTAAAAACGAAAAATTGTAGAATACCTAAACAGAAAATTCAAAAAATTTGGAACAATTAACAACAAAAAATTGAAAATTTGTAAAATTACAAAATTGAAAAATTGGATAATTATTGTAAAATTGAAAAATTAGTATTAAACTAAAAAATCTGACAACTGTAAAAACAAAAACTGATAAATCTACAAATTTTTAAATTGAAAAAATTCCAAAATTCAACAGTACCAAACAATTGAAAACTGAAAAATTGTTATAAGATTTAATTTTGAATTTTATTTTTTAATGATAACCTCTAGGTATAAAGTTAAAATAAAGTTATATGTATGTACAATCTTAAATAATTACAAAATTTTGTGATGACTTCATCAACATGTTTGCAAGGCCACGTAAATAATTCAATTTGAATAGCTGTATTACTATAAATTGAAATAAATTTTGAGATATCGTCGATTTGTGTGGGGGGATAAACATTTATTTTGATTAAAATACCATGTTTTAAAACTTCTGCAAGATTTTAGAGCATTTGGTTTTGCAGTTTCAAAATGAATTTTCCTTTTTTAGTTATTTTTGTCTATTTTGTTACTTTTTGACTTATAAGGGTTAGATGTTTGAAAATGTTTAAAATCATTTTAACTTGAAAATAATCACCGTGTGTTGGGAATAATAATAGAATAAATGAACATTACACATTTCCGATTAAAATAATGCACGATTTCCAAACAAAGCCTTCATTGTAACGCATTTGCGTTCTAATTGCAACCAAATCAAACATCCACGCTGAAATTACTGGCATTTCATAAAATCCACCTTCATTTCAAACTTCAGTTTTCATTAAACCGAATGATATTAAGTTAGATAAAAACTCGCCGCAAATATTTGACTTCACTTTTTCCTCTCAATTCCAGACTTTAATAACACGTCCAGTTTCCGGCTGTAAAAAAGCAACCGAGCGGCAATTTCACTCAAAGTAACGTGATATTAATTGTAGAAAATTGAATTTTTAAATTAGCGGAAATCATGTAATGAAAATGTGGCCTCAGTTGCCTTTCTACTAACTAGATAGACGAAACTGCGATTTTTCCGTTACCTCCATCAAAACACTGCGGGTTTATTTGTGGAACAAAAGACGAGATAACAGTTGTGTAACAAATCCCGGTGATTTGTTTTTCAAATGCGACTTTTACTTCATCAAGGTTGGCGAACTTGCTTAATTACTGTTTACAGTGTACATGAAAAATGACGGGTTTCTGGTGTTTTTTCTTTTGGGGAATTTTTGCGAACTTTGTTCGAAGACGAGTTACATACGAGGCGACGTTCCGAGAAAATATTCTGGAAATGTTGCTTTATTTACCTTTTTATGTAATGCTGTGTACATATTGTAATTTAAAGACGACATTATTTGAACTAGATCTCACCGCAGGGTCACCGCAAGGAAACCGCAAGAAATTTATGTAATCTGGTAGACGTTCAATAAAAACAAAAGTAGAACGGGAAATGTACGTGTACTTAATGGATATCAAACATATTTTTGGAAATTTAGATACACTACTCTGATCTACTTGCGCTAACCTACTTAATTAACACGATCCGACTGTTCTAGAAACCGGGACAATTATTCTCTGTCGAGTTTATATTCACTGCAGCCTGTTTTGCACACACATCATGACTGTCATATGTTCTGAATTACCATATTATGTGTTATTATGCAAAATAATAGAGCTATTACTCAATTATATCCATCATTGTTATTTCCTTCATTACTCACTTGATGTTATTTTCTTCCAACAAGACCAAAAAAGCGCTCATTCTGTGCCCTTTTACCCTACTTTACCTTACCTACCCCAACCTCCACCAATCGCTTACTCGATCCCGTACATTAACCTTACACGACCCACGAAAAGTGCATTAAATGCGCTTATTGCAGCCGTTTCCAGAGCATGCCAATCACCATCCCCGTACTATTAAGATCCTAATCGCGCCACTTTGCCCCAGTTCACCATACATCCCTTAATAAACAATTTATGTTGGCGTGACTGGGTCGTTGGCGCCACTGATTGCGATCCATCCAACGACTGCAACACACGACACGTTGCAGGTAGCATTCCTTGCAGAAGCAATTCTATAAATTATATGGGCACACTGCCCGCACGGTTAATGTAAGTCGGCATGTAATAAATCGATATGGTGTAGACGAGTAATCGACTTTAAATGGAAAAGGGGCGCCAGACAGGTCGGACTTTTTATTTTTTACTTCCTGTGTAGGCTGGCTTCTACAGTGCGAAAAAAGCGGTCTTCCGTTTCCGTGTGTATGTCTGTCTGTCTGTCCTTCTGTCTGTCTGTCTGTCTGTCTGTCTGTCCGTCTGTCTGTCTGTTTGTCTGTCTGTCTGTTTGTATCAAAATCTGCAATAACAGTTTTTTTTAGTTTATAAAATAA